AACTCTAGTCCAAAGAAATAGAGTCAAATTGTGAGCTTTTCTCCCACCCTGAATATGCTGCATCCATTACTTTCCCTGGAGTTGGTGCTTGGGCACAAACAGCATTTTCTTACAGGTGTGCCCTTGTGTTCTGGGTTGGTCATTTATAACAGCACCARGGAATATTTTGGTTGTCCGTATGGCTGAAAAAACCATTTCACATTTTCCTGAACTTCAAGGCAGTTTTTTGTGTGTTAGAGGTGATGATTGCTAAGCTGATGGCTCCTTTTTGACTGGCARCCCACAGATTTCATGAGCTGCTGCTGCTCCTGTGCTGCAGCTCACAGCTCTTTTTCCTAAATGCAGCAAATCTTTCAGCTGTAACCAAGTTCTCTTCTCACTGCGTGTCTGCAACTTGCTGCTGGTGCTAATTTAATTCACATTTTTAAAAGATTTTACCCTTCACCAGAACTCTGCTCAGGCCAGGCTCAGTTTAAAATGTGATCCAGGCTGACCATCCCAAGCTTTCATGCACTAGTAAAAAGAGGTGCAGGTTGTAGGCTGGAAGTGACCAGTAATTTTGGTTTCTGTAAGTGTGGTCATTGTCTCATAAGAGTTGTTTTTCATAGGATCAGAGAATCATGGATTGGTTTGGGTTGGAAAGGACCCTAAAGCCCATCTGATCCCATCCCTGTGCCAGGGCCTCCYCACCCTCCCASGGRAGRATTTCTACCTAAWATCCAATCTAAACCTACTCTTGAAAGTTCAGTACTTTTGTGATTTTCGTTTAATAATWCAAAGTTAACAGGAAGGTGGTAGATTTTTTTCAATTGTATTACAGTGTTTGTAGGCTCAGCATATGGTGCTCTGTGTGTTGGGGAGGTTTTCTGTTCTTCACAGTCMAGAGAAAAAGAAGTGAGACAAGCAGATGTTCTTGCAATGGGGGGTGATTTCTTCCCAGAGTGAATCCCTTCTCCATGCCCAGGGCTGTGCAGGACCAGAGGTCCCTGTGTGTGTCCCTGCTGTCCAGGACTGTCACCATCCCCCTGCAAGGACCCCAAGACAGGAAACCTCTGCAGAGCCATTACCACACCCGSCTGTGGTGCAGGGTGACCCTTGAGCCAGGGTTGAAGTCTCTGGTGAATGATTAACACTGAAATGGCTTTGCTTAAACAGTTTGATTTCTGCAGAGCTCGGTACCGGGGCTGCATCGTCCTTAAACATTTCCATTTTCCCCCTTCATTAAGGCTTCCCATTTCACCCCCATGTGTTCCAGGGGAAAAACGGAAACGATAAATACATCTATACAAATAAATCAGATTGTATATGAATAGTTTCTGGAAAATACATGGGATTGTACTACGTTTAGTACCCCATAACAATACCTTGCTTCCCGTTTAATCAAAGTTTTTACAGATTAGGAACTCAGAAAATTGGGAGGTTTTTTCCTCTCGTCTATGCTGCTTGCCTTTTTTTAAAAATCTGGATAAGACACATAGTTTATTAGGGTTTTGTCAAGTTTCAAACAATTTCTGTAAATACTGAAAGGTGTTCTATTATTATATATTATCTCAGTGTAATTTCCCTGCCTTGCCTCTTCCTTAGGAAGTGATCATTTGCCTTTTACTGCGGAAAACTTTATAGGTGAGAGATTTCTATGAAATATCAGCCTGGTTAGCTGTGGCTCTTGCAGGAGCCCTGCTGCCCTGCAATCCTCCTGGTGGTGTTGTACAGAGTCTGGCAGCTCTCCACACAGTTAGTAAATATTGCCCTTATCTGATACAGCCAGCCTGGGAAGATATGCCAGSAGCCCGGATTGGATTGCTGGCTACTGCTTTATTAATCAATGTAATCATTTATTTTTAGTTTTCTAAGTCATATCATCTGTTTTCTTTCTCATATTACATTTTCTGTGGTGCTGGTACAGAAAATGAGCCCTGTTTAAAAATTAAAGGTGATTGAAAAGTTTCAGTGGAATATGTTTGGCACTGTCATGGTTTCCCTGACAGCTGATGAATGTTTCCTTAAAAATGCTTTTGTCAGAAATTTGAGAGGTATAAAGAGCCTTTATTTTTGTATCTAAATTATGTCTTCAAAACTATACATAGAAAGATGTTTCCATCTTTTTCTGGTTTTARTAATTTTAATGAAGTGAAGTTCTCAAGTTATATATTCCTTATTTAAACTCATAACTCCCAGCCTGTACTTCAGTGTTTAATCTGAAATATTTAGTCTTAGAAAAGGAGCTACTGGGCCTAAACCTTTAGAGAAAATAAGGCATCTTTGAGTAGCTCTTGGCTGGCCATTGATTTATTTTTGTAGAAAGGGCATTGTTTGGTTTGAGGTGAGCATTGGGGTTTTTAATTGGTTCTTTTTCACATGACACTCCAAAGCCGAGAAACAATTTCATTTCTTTTTCCAAATGTATCTGTAAGCTGGGCAGACAAGCAAARAAATCCAAACAAAAGAATAAAGTCATACACGTATCACATGAAAGGAAGCAAAGCTTTGAGGTCAAAATTATTGRTGATATGTCAGGAAAGCTGTGAGAGAGCAAAGAACCAAGGATGGCTCTCAAGCCTGAGGCTGTGTCTGGGCTCTGAAATCTCCATGGACCAGCAGACTTGTGCAGGGCCAGCAGAGCAGGAGATGTGACCCCTGAGCTTCCTCAGCCTGCAGTAAGAACGTGTTTTAAGAATCTCTGTTCCTGCAGAGCCCTGATTTTCAGCCATTTCTGAATCCTCCTTGCTGGAGGAGAGGAACCCTGCAGAACCCCTCCATCCCCCAGCACAATGCTGTTCCTAGAGCGCCGTGCACTTGAGGAAGGCAGGCGAGCTGCTGGAAATCAGGAGGAGGCTGTAATTAAAGATGTGTGTTTGTACCGACATCAAATAGATGGAACTGGCTTGAGTTACACTCGGCCATGGCTCTTGGATGCTGAGGGCTGSGTTGTGCAACCAGAAGGGTTTATTAAAGCTCACTGCTCTTTTAAAAGAAGGCAAATGAGTTGGAAAAGGCAGCAAAGCCACACCATGGGTGAGCTGCAGCTGACAGACACGCTGAGGGGGCTGCAGCCCCGTGCACAGTCACGGAGGAGACGTGGTACAGCATTCCTCAGATATTTCTGAACGCAGAGGAGCGATGTGACAGATTGGAGTTCTATTCCAAGTTCTGCAAAGAAGCATTCTTCCCTTTGGGAAAAAAAAGGGGCCATTTTCTTCCCCTTTTTCCTCAAGTTTGACTCATTCTCCCCCATTCCTGCTGCCAGCCTTTCCTGCTGATTGCTTTGCACCAGCCTTGTTCTGCTCTTACTCTCCTCTCCTCTTCCACTGCTATTCCAGCATGTTGGAGCTCTTGCTGTGTTCCTGTCCAGTGTTTTCTGCTCAGCCCTCTCTGCTCCGAGGCACAGCTCAGCTCCTCCCCAGCTCAGACACTGCTTTTAGGGGTTCTGCACATCCCTAGGTCTTTGCCTGCCTGTGCTGTCTCATATTTYCCCCCAACATGAGCAATTTTTGCTTTTCTTTGCCTTCTGGTTCCATTTTTGTCCAAGTGAGAACTTCATTGACACGTTTATTCTGGTTTGACTTTGATCCCTCTSTATTTGAGTGGGAGGATTGCTGCTCCTTGTCTTTTTATTGCCTCAGTCCCCATAGGAAAGAACAAACACAGTGGCAAAGTCCTTTGAATCTCTGGATGGGCCATTTCTCAGGTGCTCTCTGGGGATGGGACATATGGGGCTGTTCAAAAGCAGAGCTCCCAGGTGCTGGAATGTTTTAATTTGGGATGGAATTTTAAGGTTTGCGTGAGCGTGTTAGAACTGTGTGTTTTTGAAATGTGTGACCAAATCTGGTCAGACTTCCTTGAGGAGAGGAAAAGGAATTTTCCATGCAAAAGCCATCCCACATATGAATGTTAAGCCCACATCAGGGAACGTGGATGGTCTGGAGCRTTTCCAAGGAAAGGCACCAAAGTCTTAAATAAAAGTGTCATTTTTCTAGCTTCATCTGGAGAATGGCTGGAACCCTGGTGAACAGGATTTTCTGTGAAAATCAGTTTCAGTGAAGCAGACGGTATAGAAATCATATTTTAGGAGTTTATAACTTAGTTGGAAATCACAGGATGGTTGGGGTTGGAAGGGACCTCTGGAGATSAYCCAGTCCAAGCCCTGCCAAGGCAGGATCACCTGCAGCAGGTGACACAGGARCRTGTCCYGGTGAGTTTGGGATGTCTCCATGCCCTCCTGGACAGCTTCTCCAGTCTCTGGCAGCCTCCATGGAATGAAATTCTGCATGTAGAGGTGATAAACTCAGCAAGCTGGGCCTTTCCAGGGCTGTGGGGCAGTGCCTTGCGTGGGGCTGTGGCTCAGTGAGATCAGCCCCTGAGCTCGGGGCCAGCACTGCTGGGTCAGCCCTGAGGATTAGGAGCAGCTCCAAGGTGATTATGATGGATTGTTTGTTGTTCTCACAGCGATTTCTTTTTTTAACAAACCAGTGCTCCGTTTGTGGCCAGGCTTGGATTTTACATCCAGATCCTGAAATGRGGAATATTTCTCACTCTTTCCCCAAACTGCTGGGGTGAAATGCTCACTTGTTGCTGTGAATGTTTGTTAGCATGTGGCCCAGTTTGCACAGTTTTCTTGCCTAACAGTATCCCAGTAGGAAACACGGTGGTGGTGCTGGAAGGGGAGCCCTTGTGCAGAGTGCCGGGAATGCGGCAGTAATGGAAACAATATGGAGTAAGAACGTGTTTGAAGAGGCAGTTTGAAAGGCTGGGATAATTGTGCAAGAAACTTGGCTTCAGAAATGTGTAAGGGAAGGAATCTTGATCCAGCCAAATAGGCCATGAAAAATCCATACAGCTTTACTTGGATTTTACAGAAGTCTTTGTTTAACTGTTTCTGGGGCACTCTGTGTGCAGAGCTGTCCCTCCAGAGGGTGGGGACGAGTCATTCCAGGTACGAGTGCTGTGTTCACCTCTGTCCCATGGATCTCAACTCAAGGTATTTTTCTGCTCTGTTTCAGCCCTGGAATGAGGTCAGATGTAAGCTCTTCTCCATCCACAACCTCAGCRACCACGGGACCACCTCCCAAGCTCTGCCTGGTGTGCTCCGACGAGGCCTCCGGCTGCCACTACGGTGTCCTGACGTGTGGCAGCTGCAAAGTGTTCTTCAAAAGGGCAGTGGAAGGTAGGACCTGCTTGGATGACTTTCCTGCTTAAAAATATAAAATCCCCACACATATCATCCATTTTCTAACCTGACATCCATGGTTTTGCTAGAATCCCACTGGAACATCCCATCCGTTAGATCACTGATCTTGTCCTAGTAAATCACATTGATAATGGTGCATTATCCAAAGCATGGATTCCATTCACATGGATAAAATGCTCCCATTCAYGCCGTGTAAAAGGATTTATTGTTGTCTTGGCTTTTGTCTCTTTCATTTTCTGTCACTGTTGTTTTTGTTTATTTATCCCGTTTTAATGCAGATATTTGTCTGTGTGCAATAGATTTGTAAAATTTGTGATTTTTTCATATAAGGTTAGTTGATGTATSTAGAGAACATGAAAGTTGGTGAAACTGTTCCATTTGAAATTACTGAAGTTTTACGGTTTTTGCTGTAAACAATGCTGGTTGAATTGCATCCACGTCCCTGGGTGGTGCTTGCAGGGACACTGGGTACCACTGACGTGTGTGTGGGATTGAATCACTGAGATTTCTCTCTGGTTGTGATTAGAGWAAATCATTCTGCAAAACAGAGATGATGGAAAACGAAATGTGAATAAGGAGTGTCTGATTTTGGGGTGCATCAAGTGGTCCTTTTGTAATGGACTGGGTTGTACCTCAAGATCTGACTCTGTGTCAGTGTCAGATGCTGAAAAGATGGGGCATATTCCCAGTGTTGCTGGGAAGATGGTGATTCCTCAGGTCTGAAGAGCATCATTCTTAGTTCTGGCCCTCAGGGTTTCCTGTCTCGTGCCTCCCTCGTGCAGCTCACACTGAACCAGGCTGTTCCCACTGACATTTGTGCACGTTGGGGTCACTGGAGGAGAGGGAAGGCAGTTTGACAGGGACGAGCCATCATTCAGTGCTCAGGAGCAGCATTTTGCCCCAGTTCCTGGCTCACCAGGTGCCATGGGGAGCTCCATGGAAGTGCAGAGCCTCTCAGAGGGGTCAGGAAAGTCCAGTTCACRTCGTGGTTTCTGCTTGTCACAAAGGGATGTCAGCTTTGTGGGGCTGAAGCTGTTCTGAAGTGTAACAAGGCAGTTGGAGCTCGAGTGCAAAGCAAATCATCATCTGTGCCTTTGGTTATAACACGGTCACCAGAGGCCCTTCAGAAGATGTTCTGTGGCAGCTGAGGATGTGCCACAGCCATGTTCTCAAGCTTAAATAAATCACAAAAGTATTGATAGAGGAAGGAATCAGCCCAGTGATTGCTTTTGGTCAGTGATGTGATTTGACACATCATCAGTCAACTGTTGTGATACTGAAAATGTCAGCAGGCTTGTGGCCATCAGTTCCTCAAGGCTCACTTCTGCTTCCATTTTGATTGTTCCYCAAATTATCCCACCCTTCACAAAAYCCCAGAATCATTTAGGTTGGAAAAGATCATCAAGTCCAACYTTCCAGCCTTTAACCAATGACCACCGTGTCAGCTGGGCCATAGCACCAAGGATTGAGCCCCCTTMATCCTTCCATTAGATGTCATGGATGYTTTCAGGACCCCTTCCAGGATCTCTTAGTCCTMGTCTTCACTATAAGGAACAAATAACTTGGTTTTGTCTTTTATAGGCATTTTTCTTATTAGGAACACATGTGAAAAGAATTTGTTTCTGCAATATCCTTTTTGTTAGTGGCTGCCAGGCACCTGTTAGTGTTCAGATCAAGCTGACTCTGCASCAGCCTTTAGCCAAAGCCTTTTTTTCCACCTTTGCCTTCAGGCCTGTGTACTGGGACAGAAAYAGTCACAGAAACTGGAAGTGTCAGTGTCTAGGAAGTCAATAGAAAGTGCATTTCTTTCAGCAAAGAGTCAGACCAGAGGAGAAGAGGTTGGGTGAGGGTGGGACAGCAGCTGTAGATTTTTGTGCAGTTCTTCAGGCAGACCTTTCCTGAGGAGCCCAGGCTGCCACAGAGACCTTTTCCCAGCCCTGATGTCRTGGTGTTTCAAAGGATTGTGATGGGGTTTCTGCAGCCTTAGAGCCAGCCCCGCTTTACCCAATGCACCAACCTGGATCTTCATCCTCCCCACCTCCTGTGGCACCTCACACSTYCCTSACTGCAGATCCCCTGCACCTCTCSCCCTGCYCTGCTCCAAACTGGCMTTGTTCATCARCAGTTTGAGTTCCATCTTCCAAAGKGTGCAATTCCAGCCCTTYCYRAGGCTGAAATGGGCACAGAGTTGGCAGTGATTGGCCACCCTCTGAAAAATGCCCCTGTGTGCTCCAAATCCAAATGGAAACATCTCCATTGGCTCTCTGCTGGTTTTTAGCAGAGTGTTTGCAGAGTATCTTCGGGTTTGAGCAGCAAAGAGAACAGAAGCACATTCCTTTGGCCTTGGGCAGCACCAACTTCCCTTCTTTTTCCCCCAAAATGGTCATGTGACAAGAAGGCTTTGATATTATGTAATACAAAGAAATAATGTAGCTTGGTCCTAGAAAAGGCAAGAATAGGTGAGCAGTAAATACAGAGAAACTAAACATTGGTGGAGAGGAAGTTCTTTGTTAGGAATAAAATGGAGCAGCTCAGGAGAATCCTCCCCTGAAGTGCCTGTATTGATGTGTGAAATTGTGGTCTCTGTATTGATGTGTGAAATTGTGGTCTCATCAAACAGCTTGGAGGGACATGGAGCTGTTGTCCCTGCTCCATATAAACCTGCAGTGCTGGCAAATGGGCATCAGTTCATATTCAGTTCATATTTCATGGGTGTTTCTGTGTGTTAGGATGCTAATGGCAACCAGAGCAGTGAGTCCAGGATCTGTTGTCTCAATTAATTAAACACAAAGACGGCACAAGGCTCGGAAAGGCTCCTTTTCCCCAAATGGAAGAGGTGTGGGGGTCATTCAGAATAACATTCCGTAAAATACCAGCTTCAGATACTTCACAGGAGAAGTTTGGCCAAAGCTGTAGGAATGGACTCTGCATGCCCATAATTTTCACAGCTGACTTGTACGAAATTCCTTCCCCATGCTGTTTTCCTGTGGGAAAGCTCTTGGKCTCAGTTGTTAATAACCGAGTATTTGGAAAATGTATTTGTTTCTCACAATATTGTGTCAGGACTTTGCAGTACAGGGTAAAAGCCCGGGCTGCAGCTTTCTGCCCTCKGAAAAAAACATAAAACATCCTTGATCCCTATCATCTGGGAGAAAGATCTATTCTTTGGTAATACCTTTCCCTAAATAAGTTACACTCAGACATTCGTTCATGCAATTCAAATAATTAATAATAGATACTTCTTTTGCCCTGCTCTAAACAGCTAAGAAACACAGTATTTTAAATAATTTATTTACTTCAGCTTTGTCATGTTTTTAGGGTCCGTTTTGCTCTGCACTGTGAATCCACAAAAAYGTCAGAGAACTCAGTTTGTCCAGGAAGGTTTCACAACTTTCCAGCCRATGAAGCTGTGTCTGTTCTCTGCAGAAATGTTTACAAGTGTATTTTCAGAATGTGTTTGTGCACCTTATTTATGTCTGTTGTCAAACTATTTAGAGAAATGGGAAACCTGCTGTAGGAGAAAGCTTTGGTAAATGTAAGGGAAAATTGTTTTTAACAAAGAAGTTGTTAACAAACAGAAAATAGGCTTTGGGGTCTAAACGTGAGAAATGGGTTTGGATATGTGAAATCAGGTRGACACTGATGTTTTTGCTGGACGTGCGAGTGCAGCAAGTGAAGGTTTTACCTGCCTGGAGTCCCTGGCACGTTCAGGAGCTGATGTTTGTTTGTGTTTGTGCCCAGGGCAGCACAATTACCTGTGTGCCGGCAGGAACGACTGCATCATCGACAAGATCCGCAGGAAGAACTGCCCCGCGTGCCGCTACCGCAAATGTCTGCAGGCGGGGATGAACCTGGAAGGTAACGCTGTTCTGCACGGTGTTCACAGGAATTCACAGGAATTCTGCATTTCCTGAACACCCCAGGGACAGGCAGGAGGCTTTGGGCTGGAATTCTCCTGTCTGTGCTCAGTTGCTGTGTGCGTGTGTTCAGCAGGATGAGCTGTGCACATAGACCAGGGTTGGTTTTTATTCCGGTCAGCACATACAGCTCGTGGCTTTTTTATGGAATGTGAGACAGCAAAACTCTGGGAGCACCTGGAGGGAGGGGTTACACCTGTGCTGTCTGCACATCCTCACTCAGGAGAGGGATATGACACTGACACCACGGAGGACAGGGACAGAAATGAAGATTACATCTTCCAGCTGAAGCATTTTTCTTCAKGCTGTGGATTCTTCTTAAATATCTGTCAAAAATTTCTCTAGAAAACATTTGTTAAATTTAACATACCAGCAGCACATAGTTGTTCTCTGCTGAGTCCTGAATGGCCTGTGAGAATCTGAAGGCCGCATCAGCCAGAGATTTAGCAGTTGTGAAATGGCATAAAACACTTTTATTAGTGTCAGCTTCATTTTATGTTTGCTATTTTTCCCTGAGCAGCASAGATTAATGCAGCACTTACTAGTGCAGTTATCCTGGTGGTACTTGTATAATCAAAGTTGTCAGATAAAATAAAAATGTCAGAGATGTATTTGTCAGCTCCGAGGATGAAGAGCATTCCATTTCAGTCAGTGATGATATCCTTGGTAAGATGTAAGTGATAAGGAGATAATGAAGCACAGACTGGAGTGTGTGTTAGCACATCCTTCCTTCCTCCTCTGCTGTACTCTCAGGAGGACAGAGCTCCCCTTTTCTGGGCTGCAGGGACTGTCCTGCCCTCCAGGCTCATCCTTCAGGGCAGAGCTTTGCCCCAGGATGGGCTGGTGCTGCTCCCTTTGTTGAGCTGATGGGTGATCTGTGTGCAGGAGGGGAGGGGGCAGCCAAATCTTGCAGCAGTGGGGTCTGAAATAAATCCCTGAAGGACACGGGGTGGTCAGTGAGTGTCTCCCAGGAGCTGGGTTTAGGTTTTGGGGTCACTGCCCTGCCTTAGGGCTGGGAGCAGGGACAGGTAACAGCAGAGCCTAAAGACAGCCTAAATAATGCCAAACCCCACAGGTTTCRTTTTGAGTGGAAAGGATTTTGCTATAAGGTTTATTTCTATTTTTTCTCCTCATGGTTGTGTTCTGAAGACATCTGTGGTGTTCAGATGTTTATCTGTGTGAGAAGCACTCCCATAGTGAGGAGCAGTTCTCTCACAGGAAGGTTTGGTACTCCCACTGTGAGCGTTTCCCTTCCTGTATCACTTTCAGTAGACACCACTGTCACTGTCTCAGGCTCCAGGACGTGGAATCAGGGAATTGWGGAATGTTTTGGGCTGGAAAGGTGCTCAGCTCATCCAGTCCCACCCTCCACTAGCCCCAGCCCTGTCCAGCCTGGCCCTGGCAGGCTGAGCTGCCTTTCTGCAGCACAGCAAAGGCCATGGGATGACGTCGGCTTCTTGTCACTTCTCCACATGTAGGCTGGAGCCTTTCCAGGGTAGTTTGTCTGAATTTTGGCACAGAGAATCCTAGAGAATAGCGAGGTTTTGGAGGATGGATTTTGTTATATAAGTTGTTGGAGAAGGTGGGGAGAGGGAAGCTTTTACGGCTGAGAGCAAAAAGGAATCGAGAAACACAGCAGCACGAAATGGAAGAACCCAGAGTAGTGTGAAAGGATGAAAAACACTCTGAAAAACAGGATTTATGGGACAGATCTGAAAAGAGGGGAAATTGGTCGTGCAGAAAAGCAAACTGGGAGGCAGCATAAAGTGCAGAAGAAACTAAAATCCAGTTCCTTTAATGTTGTCTATTTTAGGGTCACAGTTCAGGAATGACTGTTGATTTAAAGAGAATTAAATTTGCATCTTTTTTAGACAGTAATTTCTTTTTGAAAAGTCCCCATCTGCATCCTCAGTGCATAAYCAGTGGTTATAGCAAGCCAGTGAATGATCAGAAGAGATTCCAGTGTTCAGTCCTTGGGCCCCTTGCATTCACTGACTCCCTGCTGGATTTCCTCCAGGATCCTGCCCCGTTTTGGWTGTTTCCATTTCTCATACCTGCAGTGAATTTCACTGTTAGGTATGGGGTGGAAAACTAGTTTACTCTAAATTAATTAATTCATTCTTCCATGAGTTCTACCATGCTGTATTTTAATTCTGACCTSAGTTAAAAGTGGCCCTTTCTAGTCACTTAATAATTTTTGATTAGGTTTTTTTTTCACCCTGAAACCATTAAGACTGGAAAAGACCTCCGGTCCATCAGTCATCCCTTTGGCCCTGCTTATCATCCTTTTCTGGAACTTTCTTTTTCTATTGCTTGTTTTTTTTTGGGCGTAGGGGACTGGAAAAACATCAAACTATCAAGCTGCAGGTACCAGTGATTTACACAGCACAATAATGATATTTTGTGCTGCAGCTTTATTTCCTTGAGTTCTCATTTCCGCTCCCACCGTTAATTGGTGTTCCTTGGCACCCTTTCTCTTTGTGATGTGCTGGAAGAAAAGATTTATTGTTAGTTTTTATGCCTGTAAAAAAATGGTCTCATAATTTTTTTGGCTTTTCATGCCGCATTTTACAGTTAAGCTTGGCAATTAATGAGTTTTTTCTGCAGTCTTCACTTGGAATTTATTTCATTTTTTGGAGGAATCTTTTATTTTTTCTAATTCTTTGCCCTGCCCTGCCTGCAGCGGGCTGGTCCCAGTGTGGAGGGCAGTGCCCGTGGCTGCCAGGGGGTGGTGGCAGGTCCCTTGCCCACCTGGCACCTGAGCCAGGTGCCATCTGCCACCCCCTTGCAGCCTGCTGGATGCCAGCCTGCGGGAGCCTGGGGCTTGGGGGATTTGTTTGTTTTGAACAGAAAATCTTGGATGCTTTTCTCTCCGTGCTGAATTTATCTGTGGGGGTTATCTCCTGTAACGTGCCCTGAGGAGCTGGCTTGAAATTAGTGGTCTTTTTTATTATTTGAAAATTAATTGCAAAGAAGTGCATTATCTCAGCCTTTTTTTGTGTGTGTGTGTGTGTGTGTGTGTGTGTGTGTGTGTGTGAGGTACGACTGTATATCTAAGTCAGGACTGGCAACAGCCTAGTAAAAATTGTTGCATAATAATTTGTCTTATCACATCTATTTATTTTATTTATAATTTTATCAGGCTTTCTGGGATGGAAATACTCCATCCAGGTGTCTGCAAGAAGCTGAAGGCACGTGCTTCTAAATTTAAGTCAAAGCAGTTCATTTGCTCATCAGAACATGGATAATGGGGAAAAAAAAAAGTCAGAATGTGAAAGGATTTTGAAGCAGCCATTTCAAAATCGAGATGAGAATAACAAGAAGCTCTTTGCTCCAAGGAAACAGCTGTTGCTATTCCCCCATGGCAGGCTTGGCACACGTGGCCAGTCTACAAAACTTTGGGAAAATGCAATTTATACAAGGTCTGTGGAGGATTCCTTGTCTTTGGCTGTTGTTTTCCAAAGGATCTGTCTCAGCCAGAGGGAGAAGCAGATCCAGGAGGAGACTTTGTGTGCTGGCACGGCAGGGTTGGTGCATTTTGGGTGCTCAGGGATTCTGAACAGCTCAGGAGCAACTCGAAATGCACAGCCACAGTTATGTGATGCTTTTATGGGCTACGGATTGATCTGGGAAGTTGCAGAGCAGAAATCAATTAATTAACTGAGGCACCCAGGGAAGAACTGGGCTCGTTTGGTCTCATTTGGTTAAACAGAGAGTTCCGTGTGGCCGGCAGCATCCAGGAGAGCCAAAGCCAAGCAGGAGACTCCATTAGGGACAAGWTGCTAATAAAATTGTTGCTCCAACTTTTTGTAGTTTATAGTTAACATCTCTGTGTGATGTTTTATTTATTTGGCAAATGAGTTTTATGGTTTAATTACGCAGCAGTGATTTATATGCAAGAGAGCTGGCAAGAGAAAATGTTCCTCCTGCCCAGCGTTTCTTGAAAAAACCCTGTTTTCTCTGGCTTGAGAGACGCAGTAACTTCTTACCCATTAAATACATTTTTGTCCTTCTTTTGCCTAGTTTCTATGCTTAATATTTTAAGGAACTTTTAGGGTGTGTAGTCCTGCAGATATTTCCAGTGGTGGGATTGGGCCTTGTATTTTAGGGTCAGCCTTGTAAGGTAYCCACAGGCATTACTGAACATTTTGAAGCGTTTGCATAAAGTGAGTTTTATTAAAGTGTAAGGCATTATTTTCCCTGGAAATTAATAAATGGGAACTTCCTGCCTCTCCTAACAAACGCTGCGCAGGACTCAGTGCCCTGCTCCCAGCTGTGGGGGGAGGAAAGCAGTGTTTCCTGTGCTGTGTTTATCTCTCCATGCTCATTTCCATGCCCTCATCTGTGGCTTCCCCCCCTCTTTGCAGCTCGGAAGACCAAGAAGAAGATCAAGGGTCTGCAGCAGGGTGGCACGGCGGGGGCACGCGAGGCAGAGACGGCAGCGGGCAGCAAGAGCATCGTGCCCGCCTCGCTGCCACAGCTCACCCCCACCCTGGTGTCCCTGCTCGAGGTCATCGAGCCCGAGGTGCTCTACTCKGGCTACGACAGCTCCCTGCCCGACTCCAGCTGGAGGATCCTGTCCACCCTCAACATGCTGGGGGGACGCCAGGTGGTGGCCGCGGTCAAGTGGGCAAAGGCGATCCCAGGTAGGGCACTGCTGGCACTGCTGGGGTTACTGTGCTTGTTGAACCTCAATCTCTCTGCGTGTTTGCTTCCCCTCAAAGCTGAGCAGGTGAAGTGTTGGTAATAGCACGTCTCAGGTGCTTCCAGAGCAAAAAAGCAGAAAAAATTGCAGATGCAAACATTTGTTTACTACAAATTAGATCGTTTTACTTGAGCACTTTGACCATTGAATATTAAAATACTACAATGGATATTTGTTGTAGAAGTGTTACAGAGAACTRTTGGTATTAGCTCTGTTTCCACCTCCCGTTCACAGAATCCCAGAATGATTTGGGTTGGAAGGGACTTTAAAACTCATCCGGTGCCACCTCTGCCGTGGGCAGGGACACCTTCCACTGTCCCAGGAGCTCCAAGCCTCATCCAACCTGGCCTTAAACACTCACAGAGATGAGGCAGCCACAGCTTCTCTGGGCAGTAAACAATTATTTCTTGAATATTTTTAGCARTGAGGTTCTCTGACTTTTGCAGAACCACATCACTGCGCTGGCTCATCTGCTCTGTGCTCGTGGATGGTTCTTTTCTGACTCACCCTCACTGTCCATCTCCAGCGTGGAAGCCAAGTGTTATTTTCCCTCCAGTTCTGTTCAAACTGGCTCTTACCTTCAGGAAGAGGGAGGTTCGGTGCTATTTTGTCTCCTACCTAAAGACAGTGAGACGCAGAAGAAGTGATGTCAGATCTCAGCCTTGGACATGACACATGGCATCTGCCTTGGAGAGGCCATGGCCAGAGGAAKCTGAAGATGTTTGTTCCTACAGAACAAAGCCCAGTGTTTATCTCCCTCTCACCCCTGTCAGTGCTGTTCACTACCTGTTCTCAAAAACCCTGGCAAAAACACCTCCATGACGCATAGGTTGCCCAAAAATAACATCACAGAACAGGTCTGCCAAAAAAAAAAAAAAAAAA